AGTGCATTATAAATATTTTAAACTTCCGTAAGTTTTTACGGTACGTAAGAAAATCGTAAACTTACGCAATATGTTTACGCAAATTTACGCTTTTCTTACAATGTGTAAGAAAATCGTAAACTTACGCAATATGTTTACGCAAATTTACGCTTTTCTTATGATGCGTAAGAAATGCGTAAATTTGCGTAATATGTTTATGTAAATTTACGATTTTCTTATGCATCATAAGAAAAGCGTAAATTTGTATAAACATATTGCGTAAGTTTACGATTTTCTTACGTACCGTAAAATTTACAAAAGTTTATGCTTATATATTTTGCTGATGTTAATGTAAGTAATTGCCCAATATTATATATACAGTTTAAAGTATTTTTTGAGAATGTAATGTTTCACTAACAAAAAATCATCATTAACCTCAAGAATTTCACTTAGAAGCTAATATTTACTGCAAGTATTGTACTAGGCAGCTATATTGATATGTAAGCTCTAAATACTAGAAAAAAAAGATTTGAGACAATAGATTTAACTTTAAAAAAACTTCGTGTATACTATTTAATATGCTATTATAATAACAATAAACTCGTATTAACACTTATATTTTACGTATTCTAAATATAAATAAAGCTTTAAGCAGTAGATTGATAATCTGTACAAGTATAGGGGTAATTAATTATATAAACTAAATATCATATTACAAAAGATAATGATAATACTGTATATAGTTTGATAATTTATTCAGATATTGAATTTTTTAATTGATTTGAAGTTGGATTACTAGTGATAAAATATCAATTTACTACATTTTATGCGTATTTATCTATTTCTAACTAGTTGACAACCTCTTTTTTATGTGCATTTATTAGTTTGTAAGCTTCTTTATAAGAAGTTCTTTTCATTTTTAGTGGTATTAAACCGATAAATCATATAACCCGTTTTCACCCAAGTACCCAATTTCAAAGTTATACATATGACCCGGGTGATAAATTTGTATTCGGTGTTACATTAAAAAGTCAGGTCCCTTTAGTACCCAAATGCGCAGTGATGCATGCTATAAAGGTGCATAATCTGTGCAACAATGTAAAGGTAAAGGTGCAGAATACATCATGTCGCTAAAATATAAGCGAAACTGAGTAAGTGGTCTGCTTGAATATAAGAATAAATCAAAGAAGTATTAGTTATAAAATTAGAAACACCAATGAGAGAATGGAGTAGAAATAGATACTTTCCCAAAATATGTATAAAAAGCCCTTGCTTTTCCCTTACTCTAGATAAAACTCCATTAGTATAGAATTCTCACCCTTTGAATAGTATTTTCTTATCTCTTTTGTATTATCTAGTTACTTTATCGGTTAGATAAAGTAGCCATGTCTTCATACATGTTAAATTTCATTATTTTCTCTTAATAAAATACTTTTAAACGTTATCATGTGACATGTGACTTGAACGTCCATTGTTAACAAAATTGAATACAACCTTATATATCTTCATATATATCTGCGTTGTGCCTCTTTCGATAAAGCCTTAATTAAATTCTCCTACATAAAGTTGGGTGAAGACTTTACCATTTACCTTCCACATCACCGTAGATATAGTATCCATACTATATCGGGCCCGTCCCTTGAGAGTCTACAAGAAGAGACTTTTGGGTGTGACACTGGTTCGGACCTCTATGCTAGATATATCTCTATATGGAGGTCCTACAGCAAAGGTGGTCCGATAGCTTTATAGGTAAATCGATAAAGCTATAAGACAAGCTTATCGATTTACCTATAAAGCTATCGGCATTCCGAGATATGTATTGAACGCTTATATGAACCCAATTTGTATCTTAAAGGTTATTTACGCTGAATATCTGTTTCAACCAGGTTCATATCTAGATTACGTGATGCCGATTGAAGCCCGATTTGCCCTCATTCGTTGTTATGTTACCATTATAGATCTACCTAATCTATATGCTACCAATATGCTACAGTTATTTGGCGGATCTATGGTAGAATAATGAGTACATATCGGGAGATTTGTCTCCCGATATGACCTGTGTCAATCAATATAAATCCCGAAAAAAAATTTTTGCATCTATCCCTTATGTCTTTGCCTACAAATCAAAACAATCGAACATGAAATGGTTTTAAATAAAACTTTACATTATGGCAATGTTATGGCCGAAATAAATTATACTATGTCAGAACCTTGTAAAGAATTTTACGTTAGTACGTAGAAAGTGATTTCATAGGCAAAATGAAGTACATCTTTAACAGTCCCACAAGTGTAGCGTCTGTTTGTGGCACAGTTCTTCTATGTTCTACATCATGTTTGAGAACAGTCTTACTTATGCATCAGATTAAATGAATATTATGAATATGGTAACGGAGGCATACAAATATTATAGTGTTTGAATTCTTTACAATAACATATGCTGTTTCAATTAAAAAATTATAGAGATTCATTTAGTTCACACACCGAAAGTCTAGCTTCAAATAAAATGGCAAAATTTTTTATTTCATAAAAATTATCAATGCATGTTTCTATTTTCGTCGCTGTGTTAAATAAGGATTATTTTTAGTGCCTTTCACAGCAAATCGACGATTTTTTGATTTGTAATTTTGATTGTTGAGATAAATATAGATATATACAGTATATAATAACATTATACGTACGTACGGATATGCGTTATTAACCTTTTTTAGTAATAGCGATAGCGATACGTGGCCGATTTAAAGCTAAAATTAGAGCAGAAAATCACATGTAAAATTACTGCGTAAATTTTTACTACGAGCACTTATGAATACAATCCAATAAAATCTCAATTTCGGTTAGATCAGTGAAAAGACCCATATTGAATAAATTATATTGCACATGTGAATTGAACATTTTATTAAAAAAACAATAGATTAGTGATGGGAGGGATTTATTGAAAAAAAAAAATCTTATAGAATCCTAATCAAAATACTAAACTCTAGCTTTAAAGAGTATATTTTAAACTTTCTCATCCTAACATTACCATAAAGAGTGATTATTATTTGATTTTCACATTGCGTGTATTACCCCAATTTTTTTTATTTATGCAAAGATCGAAACCTGGTGTCACACAGATCTACAATAACATGATGTCTAATCTTCACTTAATTTTTATCTAATTTTTGAATCATTTGATTTGTCTCAGTAAAATGAATCGAATGATACTAAAATTATTCAATTCTGATCAGTGGATCTGCCAAAAAATGTGTGTACCACAATATCCCCCATACTATAATACCCGACTCCACCTTATCCTAATTAAGCTGTTAGAATGATTTTGCTTTATCTAATTACCTGATTTTTCATATTACTGCCGCTACTACTTTTTACATTTCACGTATTATGCAAAAGAAACTTGAGGAAAACGTAGATTGTTTACTTCTATGAAAATTGCCCAACGCTACAATAGATTATATATTGTAAAAAAAGAATAAAAAGTTTAATTTGCACCTGACGGGTCTGACGTTTTATAAATAAAAATAAATCGTTTATCATTTTCTATTTATAAAAATGCAGATCTGCCCGACGATAGCCAGTTCTAAATTTGCACCAAAATATAATATTTGTATCGATGACATTCAATAATTAAATGATCGTGAATCAGCCAGGATCGCCCCCGGAAGTTCGGGTGATGATTTTGATAGGTGACAATTCAAAAGTGCCATAGCAACCGCCGATAACCAAAAATCTATTTTAGGTAACCAAGAAGTTGGACGTTCTATTAGAAAAACTATTTTCAAAAAGTAAAATTAGATAACTTCGCTTATTCGTGTTATGCGACAAAATAAAATATATGCTTTATCTGCACGTATAAGTACAAAAAATTGTTCACCCTTTAGGACCCCTTAGGTTAGGGTGTAGGTAGGGTTGAAAATTACATAAATTATGGATTGGTACATGATTATTGTACCAACATTATTGAGATTTATCACTACGTTCGGAACTATAATTTTATACGTATTCAAACACCAGGCATAATGAAATTTTGGCTACATTATTCACATGATATCAAAAATTACATGAAATTTTGGTTTCGGAAGCTTACACTAAATTACACTAAATTACGGTAATTTTACAACCCCTAGCTATAGGGGAGGTATATTGGCTTTATCACATGCCTAAATGTCACCTTTACAGGGTGAACAGTTTTTTTGTGGGAGAGCTAGGAGCGTTGTATTCAAGTTAGTAAGTTAGTGATGTAAAAAATTTGGTGAGGGTAAATTACGGATGCTCGGTTACACGAAAAGGTTGGACATCACTAACCTACTATACTCAAGTGGTGCTACGTAAGCTATTGGTGATGTAACTAAGCATTCGAATTCGAATTATTACCGTATAGTTCCGAAATTAAGCACCCTTTTTTTGTTATAAGAGGTGCTTATTTTCGGATATAATTTTAAGAAT